GACATGTTTTGTCCATACCGTGGGTGTGAAATAGGGGCCTAGTGGACAAATATTCTTCAATTTCAGGGCGTTTGTCGATTCCTGTCATGAACACAATTCCTAAGTATGTCCAGATTTCATCTGATGTGACATAATTGTAATTGTGTTTTCGAGAGTGAGGAGCTAATTCATGTGTGTTGAAGTGCTGGTGAGCATAGCGATTGGTTTCAGTTGTGATGTGATTTACCAAGTCGTCATCCAGAAATAATTTTAATCCAGAAAAGGGATGCATTTTATGTGTTATATCAATTTTGATCCCGAAACTATTAGCAAATGGAAATATTGGGGGTACAATGTCTCCGTACGTTCATGAGATGGGCGTGTCAGGCACCGCACTCGTGGTAGGTAAATGTTCATGATTACTGTCTTGTGGATCATTGTCTATCACTGTATTATTGTCACTATCAACTTCATCCAATTCAGGAATCATTATTTCATCGCCACTATCATCATCAGAACAAATCTCGTTCACAACATTTTCCAACTGGTCTGTAGGAACACGAAGACACTTGCTGCAAGAAGCCATGGTGAAACTGAATGAATGTGAAATATTTTCTGACCTTTTCCTTCTCAGAGGGTTCTGACAGTAATATAGACCCCCACAAAGTTTACAAGGGTTCTTTACAAACATGCACAAAAACTATCATATATATGTCTTTGGTTGATGTGTGCCAAGAGAGCAAAGAAGGGAAGAGATTGTCAAAGTGTTAAAACACGCCAACGCCAGGGAACGGCTGGCATCGTCCGGGCGTTAAAACACGCCCGCGCCAGTCAAAGAGTTAACTGTTACCCTCATATTCATAATGGCCTTAAGAAGAGCATTAGCCAGGGTAACATATATGACATAACTTATTTTACTGCCTTTGCACATTTTTGGCCCAAATGGGACATCTTTGGAAGACATACATTAAAAGGAAGTGCTTTACAATGACATAACAGCAAACCCTCACTAATCTGGAGGAACTGCAGAGGGGAGGTGAACCAGATTAAGCAATAATCTTTATTGGTAAAGCAAAAGGTAGCACTAAAAGACAAAGAACACAAATAAATTAAAAATGTAACGATATAAGTAGTGCTGATGAAGATAAATATCAGTGTAGAGCCTTTATTTAAAAACTATAAAAAGACAATGCATTTATTTCTTGATAGAAGACTCAGAAGTTGTACTTGTTTTTGAACGTAATACTGCAGGTTTGAAGAAACTGTAAATTTTTGCCTGAACAGCAAAGTCACTCATCTGCCTTCCTAAATACCGTGTGTCTTTCAAAGTAGGTACTCAGCTGTGAACAGCATTTCTCATATTTCGACCCAGACTATCAGACATCCAGATTAACTGTAAATGGGTTAGCAAGGGCTTTACTATAAATAACAACAGTCATTATACAACTACAAGGCACTGCATAGAACACAGAATGTACAACGATTACTATCGACATAAGCAAGCACAGTGCAGTAGATTCCATCAAAATGTGTTGCCTGAAGATGACCCTGTGAGGTC